GATCCTGTAGTCATTTGGCCGGGAAAGAAAAAGCTTGCATCTGCTTCCCCTATTATATAACCGGTCCCATCTCTCTCCAAACCTAACGTGGTAGTTTCCCATCATAGGGCTTTCTATCTATAGATTAAGCCATTACCAAGGAGCTAATTCGTTCAGAACTCAGTTTACTGCTTCTATAGATAAGGCGGAGCGTCCTTGGCTCAGCATTATAGCACGCACATAGGGCTTCGGCGCTAGCTCAATCCGTTGCTTGTTCGCTTTCTCAGTAGCAAAAGCGCTTCTCTTTGCCCCATTTCTAAATAGTTTCTTTAGACAAGAAATATATGATTTTTTTATTGCTCCCGCTTCCTCATCTGTGCTCATCAAGCCAACTTTGCTCTTTGGGGGGGTGAAACAGCGGTTGAAGCGGACATTTCGAAATGACAGCATCGAATATATATGTATATATATACACGGTTACGGTTATCTCGGACTGCGTTCTGGAAAAAGCATCCTACTTGTGGGGCACTGTGTACTTACAGCCTATACGATAAGCAAGTGAATGGGGCCGGGTTCATCAAACCATTTTTCGCCCTAAATAGGGGTAATTTGTTCGCACCTGACTGTGATAGCCCTCTCGATACCTTATTGTAGCTTTGTAACTAGTGCCGTCGCTAGAGCGTTTTCCCAGTGCGCGGAGCCCCAACGAGGAAGGTGTTAGTGGTTTATCATTGGGTCAATAATGCTAATCCCTCTTTTTGTGCTACTCCTAGGGCGGGAAGAAGATAAGAAAAACGCCAAGTGTTCTCTTGCTTTCCCAACCTGTTGTTTCTAAAGACTGCCCTCTCTCGGCTGGATCTTGGTCCAGCCTACTATGAGAATCCCGTATCCAGCAACCCAACCTATACAAAGGGCATCAAAGCCCCTTTACTAGGTTGGAGCTATAAAGCTTACCGCCCCCGTGGGTTATTATTATGAATAAGGGAAAGGGCTTTTTCAGCTGGTGCGCAGGAGCGCACTTCCGTTTTCCCTTTACTAGTAGGGGGTCCCGTGGTTCCTATGCCGCCGCGTTTCCCGGTCCTTTTCTTTTAGTGCTTCGACCCGAAGCGATAGCTTCTAGCTAGTTCAGTGGATAAGATGGCTGCGCTCCAGCTCACTCAAGAATGGGACGGCAGTGGTCCGCCGGCAAGCTCGTTCTGATCTTGGGGCGCAGTACATTGGAATCCTGAAGCACCACCACGAACGCTACCGCGCGTCCGCCTGCGGTGCGGTAAGGCACCACCCTGTTGTGCCAGCAGCCAATTCCGGCGTGTGTCAGCTTAGTTATCCTCATCAAGCCACTTACTTGATGTCTAGCTTCCCAACTGGTAGACGGTTCCTTTTCCCCCAGATCGATGAAGAAGGGAGACGTCAGTTTATTATTCCGAAGAACCGGAAGCGAAACGCTATGCCGGGGCGGGGGGGACGGGAAAAGAAACGGCTCCGAAGAAATAAATTGGGGTTCCCAATGCTTCTCCACGCTTAACGAGATGCGCCAACCTCGGGATGCTTTACTCCTAACCCCACAAGGTTCCGAGACGGAGCTTAACCTGAGTCTCGGTTAAGAACGGCGATGATCTACGTTTCACACGGCGCACGATTCCATGGATAGTTTCATTCGAGATCGTGATGGAGGACACAGCTTACGATCATCGGATTTGATCATGCCACTAGGCATTTGATTAAGACATTGCACAATGATCCGAACACTTTGTCGCATCTCTTCGATACGAATACAGTAACGATCATAGCGATCTCCTCTGGTACCTACTGGTACGTCAGGATCCAATTGGTCATGAACATCGTAAGGTGCTGCTTTTCGCAAATCCCAGCATACCCCTGAACCTCTTAACATTACACCACTGAATCCCCAATCCTTTGCTTGCTGTGCAGTGACAGTACCAATATCCACTAATCGTTGTTTCCAGATACGGTTGCCGGTTGACATCTCTTCTAATTCGTCGATACGAGAAGCAAATTGTTGTGTGAAGGAATCAATATCTCTACATAAGCCAAGAGGAAGATCTTGTGCCACTCCACCTGGTCGTATGAAACTGGCATGCATCCTGGCTCCCGAGACTCTTTCATAGAATTCCAACAATTTCTCCCGCTCCTCAAAAGCCCACAGGAACGGAGTTGATGCTCCCACATCCATAGCATGAGTAGTTAAAGCAAGTGAATGATTTGAAATTCGAGTTATTTCACGGAATAACACTCGTATATATTGAGCTCGTAATGGTACCTCGCAATTCAAAAGTCTCTCTACGGCTGAAGAATGAGCGTGTTCTTGGGCCATCATAGAAACATAGATAGGGTCGACGACGGAACGAACAACGAAACTTTACGACAGCTTTTTCGTACACGTTCACTTGCATCACATACACAAGTGCTCTCTGAACCGTGCAATAAGGTCACCCATAACACGGCTCTCCCACTTGAGTTATCTTAGCCCCAGGCCATGCTATTCAATAATATAGGAAAA